CCGGGCGACGGTGGGCGCCAGGGGCTCCGGCCTCGCAAGGACAGGCGCCCTGCGCGTCTCGGCAAAGGTCGCAGGAGGACAGCTTCGCTCGGGAGTTGTAGCTTCTCACGGCCCGCCGCCCTGTTCAGAGACAGAATCAGTGTACACAACGCCCAGATCAGACCAGCTTTGCCCGAGCGCAGCAGCATTTCAATATTCTTGCATGAGGCTTTCAGTCTCCACGTTATTTTACATTTTCTTTACAAGAAACAAGATGCTCAAGAGTGAACCTAAGGGCAAAGCAAATGCAAGGGCGAAACACGCGCAGTCCCAGCTTCTCCACCAGCAGCCGACCGAATGGCTGCAGCTGCAAGCACTCTTACAAGGCAGGCTTAGGGGAACACCAAAACGCTCAACTGAAGACTGTTTAACATCCGGAAGACTTCACATTAGGATGACATTTTCTATGCATTTAAAATAAAATTCTAATCATTAGAATTACTAAAAAGAACTATCAGCCTTGGGCTTTATTAAAAAATATATAGGCATGAAAAATCTGTCGATACAATGTCTTGCGTTGTTTTAAAACGTTACCTAGAAACTATTCAATACTGGGCGGGGGAGATAGCTCAGTGGCTTACGTGCCTGCCTGACAAGCGCAACGTCCTGAGTTTGAGCCCTGGTACAAAAAAAAAAAGCAAGCTATTCAATATAAGTGTAGTTCAGTTACGGTATAAGCTAATATTTTAAAACTATATAGTGTCTAGTCTATAGCACTGTAAGAAACTACAAATAAAAATGTTTACTTTGAAATTTTGGGAGATTATCACTTTCCTTTAAGGAAAATAAAAATAATTTTAAAACATTAAAACAATACAAAATTTCAAAACAAGATGATAGGAAATCAACAGTGGTTATTATATTGTATACTGTTATCTTCAAAGTAGTTGTTCAGATTATCAGATAAAAACATGTAAAATTGGGTCAAAAATTTAAAAAATAAAAGCATTAGCTATTTCTTTTAATAAATCAACAGAAATTAGTGGTACAATTATCTTAGGGATGAGGGAAATGAGAAAAAAAGAAGGGAAATATAAATATACATGTGTGTGTATCTATATTTTGAAAAAAGCCATTCTACTTTCCAAATTTTTAAACTTTTCAGATTGTTGTATATATCACAAATGCTTTTAGAATTTTAAAAATAGGTTGTAAGGTTTTGATTACTCTTATCTTTCCCATAAATCTATTTTAAAATGGCCCCTTCATAAAAAAGTTGTTTTCCACAAAAATATTATAAAGTCTAGCTGGAGAGACAGCGTGGTGGTCTAAGCGCCCACCTGGCAAGCGCAAGGACCTGGGTTCAGTCCC